TATGAAATCTGCCACAGTATAAAAGCTATACTATAGAGACTGTTTCCCTGGAGGCTAGCATTTGAATCAACATTTTTGAACTGGCATAAAGAATTATTTCTCTCTCAATAATGTCTTATTCGTTACCCATCTCTCGTCATTAATCAAATACTAGAACCAGTGAAAAATGTATTTAAAAATCTGTAAATCTGAATGGAATAATAAATGTTTACACATCATAGATATTCTGGAATGTTAGAGGAAGCCTTTGTACAGGTCAGTGGGAATATTTATATATGTATAATACTAAAATTTGCACTGAAAATGGAAATTACTTTTAGTGAATGCATTATGATGTATAAGTGATGAGCATGCTTTAAATCCCATTTTTTTACCTCTAGTGTAGAGTTGCATTATCACTTCTCAAGGCAAGAAAGATTAAGTTAGACAGTAGATAAAGTTGTACATTGTGATTATGTAAAGCTCTAGTGCAGTGAGTTAAGCATTGGACTGCTAACTGTAAGGCCAGTGGTTCAATCTCACCTGTGACTCTGCAGAAAAAGACGAGGCTGTCTGCTTCAGTAAAGATTTATAGTCTAAGACAGGGGTGCTCAGTACGTCGATGGCGATCTACTCGTTGATCGCCAATTCAGTGTGGGTAGATCGCATGGCATTTAAAAAATAGAAGTAGCCTATCATCAATCCTGTCAATTAATTGATATACAGCGCAGCGAATCAGATGCAATCGTAGGTGTCAAATGCATGCACAAACAACTGTGCTAAGTGCAGCAACAAAATGAACACGCTAAGTTATCGCCAATTTTTAGACCTTCGTTTTTTTCTCTTAAACTTAAGAAAGGGTATTAAAATGAGTGGGGGATCTGGACCAAGTAAGAAGACAAAAACATATCACTTTCATATAGAATGGGAGATTTTGACAGTACAAGCCGACATTCAGCTGAAGTCCAGCGCGCTTGAACAATTCTGGAACTTACTCACAGAGGGAAAGTACCCAAATATGAGAAAATGTGCTACCTCCTTGACTGCATTATTTGGCTCTACTCATTTATGTGAGTCAGCCTTTTCCCACATGAAGATCATTAAGTCCAAGTACCGTTCCACCATGGCTGATGATCATTTGGAAGTGTGCTTGAGGCTGGCTGTCAGCAGCTATTGTCCGGACCATGTATCCCTGGCTCATTCCATTCAGTGCAAGTCATCAGAGTAAACTCAGGTAATGACAAAACATGTACATAGTTAATTGTGTTGCGTTGTGCAATATGGACTCATCCAGTTATGCAAGGTACATAAACATACATTGTACATATAAATAATTTTCAATGCATTTATGGGTAAA